CGGCCCGGCCCCGGCCCGGAGCCCCACCCCACGACGGAGGGAAGTGGCCGGGTGGGGGGAGGCGGGCTTCGGCTCCTGCCCCGAGTGGGGCGCTAGTCGCTGAGGCTCTTGGGGAAGCCGCCCGGAGGAGCGGTTAGACGGCGGCCGCGAGTGCTGACCCTGGCGTCGTGTGTCTGGCGGGGTCAGCATGGCCCTACCCTGCCGTCCAGGAGATGAATCTCGGGCCGGCGCCCAGGGCTCTGTGGAAATGCCCTCCATGGAGGTCCCTTATTTAAAAACCTTCCATGTAAACACCTCTTTTTTAACTTCGAGTCCGTACCCCTGTACTGTGTCTTAGGGGTCAGCGGCTCCCCCTCCCGCCCTCCATCTTGCATTTTGAACACTCACCTAGAGGCTCTGTAAGGTGTGGGTGTATTTCTCTCGATAGCACTCAGTGTCTGAAGACATGTGTAGGAGCGAGTGTTATCGTAGACGTTTTGACAGGGACTCTCCCACAGCACGTTCTTCACATGAACACAAATGAGATCTAAACTTCATTTAAGAAGTGAAAAAGCAAGAAAATTGCTTTCGGTTGGTACCAAGGGGAAAGAAGTGTAAGAGGCCAGTCATAACAAGGGAAAAAGAGAAGTTGTGTAATTTTTTAAACTTTCTGAGTTTGATGTTATTAAATAAAGTGTGATAGTGGGCATTGCAACATCGAATCTCTTCAAGATTAGGCAAGAAGTTTAATTTTAAAAATTGAATTACGCGTGGGATGAATTTTCACCAGCAAATGCAGTGATTAGAACTTCAAAATTACCTGACATAAGCCGATCTTTAGAATCACATTAAGGGGTAGGAATTTAAATAAGTATTAGCTTTTTCTACAGCCTGTACTGTTGGAACAATCAATTAATGCCTATTTATTTTCATCCTTCTCCGTCCGTCCTTTTTGTCACATTTTTCACACTCCAATGTCATCACTACATGTCTTAATAAAGTAGAACTTATATTATTTAAATACGTTACTTAGAAAACAAGTAAGTGTGTGGCACAAAAATATGCCTTAGCATTAGGTTTGATTACCGTGTGGAGTGTAATTTTTCATGTGTGGCAATGTAAGAAATGGCGACTGAAGCAAATCATTGGTAACTAGGAGATCTTCCTGATTCCCTTCCTGTTGGTTTTCCCCGTTAACTGTACTATGACTCAGTAGCTAAAGGGCTTGGTTTCCTCTTACCTTAGTTGCTCAACTGGAAAAGTGAAGAGAACATCAAGAACTTGGGGTGGGGAAAATGGTGCATTTCAACAGAGGTTTCGAAGTAAATTTTCAAATGCTCGTAACGGAGCATGTAAAATACTTCATTTAAGTTTCTGTGGACTTCATCAATATGAGGATGTGGACATCATCAGTAGCTCTGGTTTTACCAAAATTGCTATGGTGCAAAGAAAAAGAATAAAACAAACAAAAGAAATGTTTATCCTAAAAAACATATCATTTTGCATACCTGCTTCCTTCATTGCATGTCATGAAAATTTATTTTCCTGTACTCCTTTGAAAGTATTATTTTTACCTTGTGATTTATTTATGTACTGTAAGCCTACATACACAATAATTGAAAATTACATCTGAAATATGCATTTTCTATTACATCATCATCAAAGAATAACTCCTTGTAAGAAGGTAAAATAAGCAAAAAATTGGTGCAACCCTACCAATTGGTGTAAGAAACAAACTTTTATGATGTCATTTTTTTGGTAATGTTATCACAAAGCCTTGTTTTCTAGTTTTTTTCAAGTTCTGCAAATGAAATTTAAAATTTTTATGCACTGCCATGTAATGATCATGGAGATAATTTTACATGTGTAAAGATATTTGAGGGAGAATTAAATAAAATTAACTATAAAACATGTCCCAAGGAGTTGTTTTATTTAGTTTTTTTTTTTTTTTTTTTTTTTTTCACAAAGCCTTGTTTTCTAGTTTTTTTCAAGTTCTGCAAATGAAATTTAAAATTTTTATGCACTGCCATGTAATGATCATGGAGATAATTTTACATGTGTAAAGATATTTGAGGGAGAATTAAATAAAATTAACTATAAAACATGTCCCAAGGAGTTGTTTTTTTTATTTTTTTTTTTTTTTTTTTTTTAGAGAGATGATGTTTATTTCTTCATTTTGTTTGTTTGTTTTCTTGGTTGTTTTAAGAACACAAGGACTCCAAATTACAAATGGAATATTTTTGAACAATTTGTTCCTAAGCTAGTGATTTAGAACTTAAAGTAAACTTTTCTGTAAAGGCAATTATGGAAACAGAAACAGAACCAAAACTGATTAGCTGGAAATGAGGCAGAGGCCATCTTCCTGCTGTCCTTTCTGCTTAGCACACTCATATGATGTCTTAGTAGCCTAATAGATAATGAGATAGAATTGCAGGCAACAGCCAGCAGAGGTGACTTTTCATCTGGATCAGGGCTATGGTGGTGTGCTCTTGAACTCAGTAGCCTCAGAGGCACCTGACTTGTGCTCCTCTATCCAGTTGTTTCAATGACTTTGTCAGCACCTAATTTCCTATATTAAATCTCTTTCTATTTCTATTTCTTTTACAGAGTTTGCCCTTTCTGATAATTTGATGAAGGAGGTTTCTTCCTTGGGTTATTTCCCAGGTTAAAGGCTCTTCCACATATGGCCTTTCCTTCACTGATATTTCTTTCTATTCCTAACTGAAAGGCACATTCCCTTGCCTCCACCTCAAAGTCTCTTGCATCAGTTTTGACTATACAAAATCTATCTTTCACTCATTGTTATTGTAATGCCAGATCAAAATGTATTTGTATTTTGGTATCTATTTCATATAATACGGAAATACTGGTATTCATATAGGTGTTGTATAACTAAGATATTGTTAGCATCATTTTTTACAATTTGTCCTTAGATTCTACTCCATTTGAAAAAAAAAAAAAAAAAACTAAGGTTCCTCTGTCCTTCTGGCCTGAGTCTAAGTAAGATGACTGACAAAAGAGTAAAGTCAAGTATCCTAAGAAAGGAGGCCTTGAGAGAATAGAATAAATCCCCTAGATGAAGGAACCGTGTCAAGTTTGAACTAGGAGTCAGGCCTCTGAAATGAGCAAGGGAGAAAGCAATTTCAGGGGATGCCCAGGGAACTGAAAGGATAGGACACAGTTATTCCACGTGTGGTGGTAATTGTGTATATGAGAGATGATCTAAGTATGTTCAGGATGGTGAATGCCAGGTTGGCTTTATGTAAGAGAGTCAGTGCCCTGCTACATAGCTGGAAGGCTAAACATCTCGTCTTTTTTGTCATATGTCTGTAATGTTAATGGCATCTGCTTAGATGTGCCACAGTATGCAGTTTACAACCTGAATAACCCAAGATGGCCTTGTTTACCTAGAGCTTACCTAGACCATTATCCTTACTCTGACTTCAGAATCATTAACTCTAGCTTTAAGGTCTTTCTTTATGATTATAAAAGTAATGTATACTTTGGAAAATTAGAAATATAGAAAGGCCAAAAGAAGAAAATATTTGAAATTCTACTCCAGGTAATATTTTGATATCAAATATCAAATATTTTTTATTACCATATTTATATATCTCTGTGTATACATATATACATGCTTATATTTTTAACATGTTTTAATATAAATAAAATTTTGTATCTTTTTTTATCTACTTAAAAGATTGCGTCATTTTCCCATGTTATGAAGATTCTATGTGAAAACTATTTTTAGGGCTGCCTGATAGTCCACTCTCCTAACAGTGCACATTTAAATTGCTTCAAACGTTCTTTAATATCTAATGCTGTATGAAAATCTTTGCTTGTAAATCCTCACACTTCTACCTTGCAATAGATTCCTAAAAGTGGAAGAACTTGGTCAATGAATCAAACTCTTTGAAGTCTCTTGAAACATCCTGAAGAATTGCATTCTAAAAAGGTTATACCAATATATGCTTCCAGCATTGGTGTATAAAAATGCTGATTGTAAACCACCCATGAGAGCAATGAACAATAATATAATTTATAGGTTAATCTTTGCCAATTTAGTAGGCAAAAATTGCATCTTATTGTTGTAAGATATTGCTGGAGAGGTTTACTAAACTATTCATATATTTAAAGGGCATCTTTCTTTCTTTCTTTCTTTCTTTCTTTCTTTCTTTCTTTCTTTCTTTCTTTCTTTCTTTCTTTCTTTCTTTCTTTC